TGTATATGACCTTGAAAAGAAATTTCATTTAATTGTAAAATTGTAAGTGCTCAAGAAATGTTTTAATTTTTTGAGTGAATTCCCTAGCAGTATTAAGAATATAGTAAGTAGCTGTTAACTTACTATGAGCATTTTTATCCATAGTAGGGTATTTGATAAGCTGCTTTTTTAATTTAAATAAAATTTTTATTATATACTAGTTTACTTACAAAGTTAGTATACATTGTTTTTACACCAGATCTTTCCCGTTTCCTTTACCCACTCTCTCCACCCATCAAATTGTGCGACCGACCCTTTGATTAACCCACCCTGCCTATCCTCATCCCTCTGCTCTCCACTTCCCCCCTTGGATCCTCATACACATTCTACTGAGTTAATTCACTTCACATAATGTTCTACAGTCTCTCCCAAATTACGTAGTGATTTATAAAATCATTGCTCCTGTGTGCTGCGTAGTATTCCATCGTTTGACTGTACCATAGTTTTTAAATCCATTTGATTGTGGTTGGATATTTGGGCTAGTTCCATGTTCTTGTGATGGTGACTAATGCTGCTATAAATATTGGTGTACAAATCTCCATTTGTGCCCTGGTTCTCATTTTCTTGAGCTGTATTCCAAGCAGTGAAATAGCTGGGTCATATGGAATTTCTATGCTCAGCTATTTGAGGAAACAGCAAACTGCCTTCCAGAGTGGTTGTACCATTTTACAATCCCACCAACAGTATATAAGAGTCCTATCTCGCCACATCCTCTCCCACATTTATTACTTGCTGTCCTGTTAAACTATGTTATTGCTACTGGGGTAAGGTGTAGCTCATTGTGGTTTTGATTTGCATCTCTCTTTGGATTTGGAGCATTTCTGCATGTGTCTTTTGGCCATTTGATATCTTCCTCTGGAAATTATTTCCATGTCTTTGGCGCATTTTGTAATTGGGTTATTAGTCTTTTTCTTGTGGAGGCCCTGTAGTAGTCTGTAAATTTTTGATATGAGGCCCTTGTCTGAAATGCTGTTATTAAATGTTTTTCCCCCCAATCAGAGGGCTTTCTTTTCACTCTTTTGGAAAATGTTTTGATGTACACTCGGATTTAATCTTTTGAAGGTCCCATTCATCAATTTTATCTCTTCAGATTGTACGTTTCTGACTGTATTTGGCAGTCTTTTTATACCATAGACTAGGTCTTCTAAGCTTGGTCCCGGTTTGTCTCTTATGACCTGTATGGTTTTGGGCTTTACTCCCAAGTCTCTCATCCTCGAGTTGATTTTTGTGTATGGTGTGGGATGTGGATCCTGTTGCAACTTTCTACAATAGCATTCTAGTTTTGCCAGCACCATTTGTTGAAGAGGTTGTCATTTACCCACTTGATATGTTTTATTTCCTCATTGAATATCAGTTGACCACAGATAGCTGGGTTCATTCCTGGGTTCTCAGTTCTATTCCATTGGTCTATGTGCCAGTCAATGTATCAATACCGTGATAAGGTATTTAAAAAACCCCCACAAACTTTCAAAGTAAAGTATCTGATCATTTAAGTACGTGACCTGTAGTGCTTTTGTTAGCTGCAGACACGTCGATTTCAGCTGATAGTGATCCTATGAACAACAGATTTAATACCTTGCCCTATCCTGCACCATCCTTACACTGTCATGCTTAACCCCGTTTTCATAATCACTTTTGTGTCATTCCATCTTGTTATAGATTGTCTTCTTTTTCACTGATCCTCTACTTCCAAGGACTGTTGTCTTTTGACAACATGCCCAAAGTATGTTTGAGTTTGAATATATGATTGGTTGCTGTCATTATGTATCATTAAGTCAGAACTGACTTATAGCTGCCCCTCTAGTAAGTTTTCAGAGGCTGGGTGACCCTAGAGGACATTATGCTGAGTGAAATATCTCAGCTGCAAAAGGACAAATACTATATAATGACACTGTTAAAACAGGACTGACGTCAGGTGTGGGGGAAACTAAGAAAAGAGGGGATAAATAATGGACCCTGCAGTGAAACAGATGAGGGAGAGAACTGTTTAAAAGGGGTATGTGATTATGTATTATTTGTATGACAACAGTCCAGAATAAGAGCTGCATAGTAAAATGGACTGGGGGGTGGGGGGTGGGAAGATTGTATAACAATGAAAGAATTTCTTTTTCTTTTCAAAGAAAAGTGAACCTGGGCGAGGGAGCAGTGGGCAGGGAGGAAATGTCCAACAATGAATGAACGGAAATTCAAGTTCTCTATAAATCTTTGCAATCACAATTAAAAAGATGAAACAGCATAATCAAAGAGACAAAATAAATATCTCAAGCCCACTGCTTAAAAAAAAATTGCTTATCATTCTCCTGTGGAGCAACTGCTGTATCCAAACCATATGTCTGTGGATTGGCAGCACAATGTGCTACCACTAAGCTACCAGAGCTCCCTATCTAATTAAACTGTGGCACATACTTAGTTTAGATTGGATTTTCTCAACTATTATTTGACAGTTATTCTTTGTTGTAACTGTCTTGTATTTTGCAAAAGGAGCTGTTGTAACATGAGGTTGATCTCTACCCGCTTTATAAAGGGAAATTTTCTCCATTAATAATATCCATAACAGCATACAGATAGCTGTTAGGTCAGACTTGACAGACACACACACACACACACACACACACACACACACACCGCCCACACCCCCATCATCTTGCACCGTTTTCCACCAATCATTTGGGTTCAGTGTTCATTGTTGACTCAGAGACTTTACTCACAGTTGTTTTACCAACACTGGGGTATTATTAGGGAAATAGATTGGGAAGTAAGAGAGGCAAAGAATATCTCACAATGGTTTAGTTCTACAGTCTGATCCAGATTAACAGCAAAATAAAATAATTAGTAAAAGTCCTGGTTTCAGTGCAACAACACAATTCCATAAAGCTTCTGGTTTCCTCAATCATCCAGCAGGGTTTGCCTCAGAGCATTATAAGTCAGCTTCTTCGTCAGTTACTTGTCAAGTACAGCAAAACGATTAACTGTAGCCTTTATCTCAGGGCTTCTCTGGTTACATCTTCCCACAGTTTTTCCACAACAGTGCCATAGTCTCTCTACCACCATCACCATGGTCTCCCTCAACTCTTGCTGCTTAGTGTGGGAAAAACTCTTTCTCTTATTCTAGTTCCACAACTGTTGATGTTTCAAAACCCAATGCCTATAGTTAAGGTAGCTGGGGACCAGTGGAGGCTAACATAATGGTTAGAAAAGCCAATTTTTTGTTTTAATTTTTTCTCCTTTTTAAAATTATTATTAATTTTAATGAAAATTTAAAGAGACTTTGGATTTCCATTCATTCATTGTTGTAACTTTTCTTGCAGTCCACCCCTCCCCATGCCAAGAGAAGCCAATTTTTAAGCCAACACTGCATACATGTATAGAATGATTAACAATCTTCTGGCCCCCATCCACTAGATGCCAGTTGCATATTAGCCAAAGCATGCTTGGCTTCTTTTAACTTAACGTTTCTGCAGTTCTTTCATCTGTTTTGTAGGTCAGTGTTTTTCAATAGCTGAGTAGGAGTAGGTGTCACTGGGTATGCAAATAGTTAAACACTCACTTTCTAGCTGAAAAGTTGACAGTTTGGACCCATCCAGGAGTACCTCTAGAGGCAGGCCTGGTAATCTGCTTCTGAAAAGTCATAGCCTTGAAGATTGATTGGGTGATTTTGCTTTGCACACAAAGATGCTAAGAGTTGGAATTGACTTAATTACAACTGCCACCAGCATTCCATTATTTCACACTGTATTTTTCCATTTTTTTAATTGATGAACAGTTAATTGGGTTTCTGTTTTTCATTTACTGTCATTGATGCTGCTATGGACTACCTCTCTGTTTTGACTCTCATATTTCTCTAAAGACGTCACATTGACTTTTTACTGCAGATTGATTGTGCTATACCTTTTTCTTTCCTCTGTATTTCTTTCCTTGTGTATTTTTGGATACATGCTATTACTTTTCTTTGTATCACCTTTCCTTTATCATGTCTGGTTAGTAAGCTTTTATACATTTTTTTTTAAGATTGGCTTTAAGTGTTATCCTGACAATGCCAAAGTTAATTGTATTTTTTGTCAAAGTTTACTTATACTGTTCTTTAGCTCATTACTATAGTGCTTGCTTATGGGCCTGTCTTTTTCATTTCCTTTGATACCATACCTGAACTTTATCAGTACACATCTATCATTATAATAAAGATCGTCATTAATTTATTGTATTCTGAGTTAGAGTTATCTGTGATAGTTTCTTTTTTCTTTTCAGTTTAGCTTTCGTTTCTATATCAGAAACCCTTTGTGGATCCAGTTAATATTCAGAATGACTAATTGAAAGTACAGATAGTGATAGGATTCTGTGTGGTTGATTCCATCATAAGTTGTTGTGACTTTAATACTCTTCTCTCTTTTTGTTTTGTTTTCTTTTATTGCCTTTTATTATAAGTATTTTTATAGATCCAGTCTTTATATGTAAACGCTTGAGAATACATAAGCAAATTATCTTTGAATGTTATATACAATCCATACTATTAATGTTAAGATGTTAAAGAAAAAAGATAGACTTAAGTGCATTATAGCTAGTGTTTGACATACTTTAAGAATTTAGTAAACATTACTCTCAGGTTTTTCTTTTTTTGCCCATAGGGTATACTTAACCATATTTTATTATGATTTATAGAACTTCATGATTTCCCCTCCCTTCAGTAATTTTCCAGCTTCTTGTAGTATTTTGGTATGTATTAATAATAATTCTCAAAACAAATACTGTTACTAAATTTATCTAGAAATTTGTAACTGAAACAAATGTAGGGGATTATAATGGGGCAAATTATTAGTCAAGAGTCTTGGTAAATATTGTTCACATTCTAATACTGCTATTTCTGTAATGAATTAATATTGTTTAATATGTTGGTGATAATTGTCTGAGGCTTTGTTTGACCTATTGAAAATTCCAATATGATTCTCTGTGTTATTGCCTTGCAGAATTCTGAGGAGCATGAGTGCAACGATGAAGCCTCTCAGGAAGATGAGAGATTTATGGGCATGTCCCCTCTCTTACAAGCTCACCATGCCATGGAAAGAATGGAAGAGTTTGTTTGCAAGGTAAGATTGCAACTTCTTGTCATTTCCGTGGTATATATTTAGCTCATTCCATCAGAAACTCTTAAAAGAGAGTTGTTGCCTAACGAAACAGCTTATTAGACTGTGGTTTGTTTTGGTGGTGATTTGTTGTACGATAAGGCAAAGAAAGCCTCATACTTTCAAATATTTCAAGGTGAACACATTTATTTGCTTCAAGCAGGCATGATAAACTTTTTATAAAGTGTAAATATCCAGGTGGGAAAAAGTCTTTGGTGGTACAGGTTGACAGTTAATGCTTTCTTGATAGTTTAAACAAGACAGTGAAGGAAAAAAAAATCAAAAGCACTTTTTTCTGAGAAGTGGTTACCTAGTGGTAATAAGCTGCACTGTAATCCCCAAGACATGCTGTTTGAATCCACCAGCTCCTCTGTGGCTGAAGGATGGGCATTTTCCTCCTGTGAGATTTACTGCCTTTAAAAACTTGCTGAGGGGTCCACTATGTGTTGGTTCCAATTTGACGACACACAGCAACAACAAAGGACAAGCATAATGCCACTGAACCTTGTGTACTCTACTGTTTAACTCAGTGGCAAATGTACTATTCTTTTTCAAGATTCTATGGGTTAGAAATCTCCAAGTTCTTATGCACAGTTGGTATTTTCAGTTCAGATGGTTTATTTTCTGCCTCTAAGATTTTTCTTCCAAGTAATTGTCTTATTGATCAGGATCTGTTGTGTGGCCTCTCACTCCCACCCCCACTCAGTGATGACTGGAATTGAGGTTGCTTAGAGAATATAGTATGGGACACTAGTAAATTTATAGGAATTTTATTAATTTGTTCAATATGGTGAAAGGGGACTTGCCAGATATGCGTGAAAGCCAATATGAGGAGTGTGTGAATCTATCAGATCAGTTAATTAACTTTTTTTGTGATTTAAGCAGAAGTTTACAATGATGATTGATTTTCTATTCAACTATTCTTACGCAGTTTGTTTTATGACATTGATTACAATACCTATAATGTAACTGTGATTCTTTTTTCTTAAATCCTTTTCTTCTTACCTTCTGTACTTTATCCTTGGGCAAATACTGCCATTTTGACCCTTTATGTTTGCTTATTGTAAGAAGTGAGGGCATCACTATGTTCCTGGACCCCTACCTTACAGGTCTGTGTATTATCTGCCTGAAAATTGAGCCATGACAGAAGAGTTTTGTTCCAGACTCAAAGGGTGACTAAGGGCCATAGCCTTCTGCCAGTCTCCATCAAACTAGGAAGCCTATTTTTGTTTTTTTAAATTTTGTTCCACATTCCCCTCCTCTCTGCCACACAAACACACACACACACACACCCCAGTTCTTCCACTGTTATCCCTTTTAGAGTGGTCAGTAGTGGTAGCTCGGCACCATCTGGTTCTGGTCCTTGGATCATACAAGTTGCAGTTTGCATGGTTCATTAGTCCTTTGGACTAATTGTATCTCTTTATCTTTGCTTTTCCCCTCTCATTTTTGTCTTCTTTTCAGGGAGAAACTAGTGGTTGCATCTTAGCTGGCTGCTTATAAGCTTTTAAGACCTCAGTCACTAGTTGCCAAGTAGGCATAGAACAGTGCCTTTATGAATTATACCAGTTGGTATTTAATATTTCTAGTAAACCCATCTTCTTGGTAAAAATGACGATGAAGAGGAGATAGAAGATTTTTACCAACTTTTACAATCGGAGATTGATCGAACATGCAACCAAGATGCATTGATAATAATGGGTGACTGGAATGC